ACGTCTAAAGTGATAGACCACACGATCGTGACCGTGGTGGATGGAAAGGACGTGGTTGTAGCCACTATAACTCATCCGGCCGTGGGAACCACTATAACCGTGGATGTAGACCCAATTCCGGCCGTGGTCGAGGGCGAGGATGATGTGGTATTTCCAAACCACAACACTCGACCAAATGAGTATGCCATAGATGTGGTATTGAAAGGACGTGGTTGTGGCCACTATAACTCATCCGGCCGTGGGAACCACTTTAACCGTGGATGTAGACCCGATTCCGGCCGTGGTCGAGGGCGAGGACGATGTGGTATTTCCAAACCACAACACTCGACCAAATGAGTATGCCATAGATATGGAATGGGAAACCATTGGGCTAAGATATGTAGGACTTCCAAACATCGTTGTGACCTCTATCAAGAGAGTGTAAAAGGGAAGAATCCTAAAGCCCATTTGGTATATAAAGATGGTGAACATGATCAAGATGATCTAATAGAGTATGAAACTTCTGATTGCATAAAAGAATCAAGTTGATAAATCTTACTTCGACATCAAAACCTCTATGTTTTTCTTTGCATTTTATGTGTTTATTGATTGTTATTTGCTTGAATTTATTTTATATTATTTTATGTTTAGAACATGATTCTTGTCCATATAAGAAATGGCCGAGGACAAGAACATAATTGTGGTGGATAGTGGAGCCACACAAAAGATAAGAGATATTTTCCTAAATCTCATAATGAAAAATGCCAATATTAGCACTTAGCGGGCATAGCAAACCTTATTGAGGGCTACGGCCAAGCCCATATTCTATTACCAAATGGCACGCATCTTGAACTAAGCGATGCCTTATATTCACCCAGCTCGAAGAGGAGCTTATTAAGTTTCAAAGATATAAGATTGAATGGTTTCCATATTGAAACAAAGGGTGAAGGGAACAAAGAGATCACCCAAGGACATAAGAAAGTCCTAGAGACTATACCCGCATTATCCACTGGTCACTACTATATTAAAATCGATATGATCGAAGCTAATATGGCAATGAACAAAGAGTTCATCGAGAAATTCACTTTATGGCATGACCGGCTTGGCCATCCGGGTCATAGTATGATGCGTAAGCTTATGATAAATTCAAAGGGGCACACCCTAAAAGAGAAAAGAGTTATCCCTAAGAATCTCACGTGTGAAGCATGTTCACAAGGGAAACTCATTATAAGGCCATCACCGGCTAAGGTAAATAAAGAGACCTTAAAATTTCTGGAAAAGATACAAGGAGATATATGTATGGTCCTCATTGATGCATCGACAAGATGGTCGCATGTTTGTCTCCTATCTACTAGAAACCAAGTGTTTGCTAGGTTATTGGCCCAGATTATAAGACTGCGAGCCCACTTTCCAGATTTTCCGCTTAAGACTATACGTCTAGACAATGCCGGTGAATTCACGTCCCAAGCGTTTAATGACTACTGTATGTCCATGGGGGTAAGTGTGGAACATCCCGTAGCACATGTACATACACAGAATGGATTAGCGGAATCCTTCATTAAACGAATTCAATTGATAGCTCGACCATTACTCATGAGGTCGAAGCTCCCAGTAGCCGCTTGGGGACACGCTGTTTTACATGCATCAGAACTTATACGCATAAGGCCATCTAGTGAACATAAATATTCACCATCCCAATTACTCATGGGTCATGAGCCAGACATATCCCATCTAAAGACTTTCGGGTGTGCCGTATATGTACCGATTGCTCCACCACATAGAACAAAGATGGGACCTCAAAGGAGGATGGGAATATATGTTGGATTTGATTCTCCCACCATTATTAAGTATCTAGAGCCAACTACGGGTGATCTATTTAAGGCTAGATACGCGGATTGTCATTTGAATGAATCCGAATTTCCTACTATAGGTGGAGAGACGAACAAGCTGGGTAAAGCAATAAAAGAAATATAATGGAATCAAACATCCTTAAATTGGCAAGATCCTCGGACTCTGGCATGAGAATCAGAGGTCCATAAGATTATACATTTGAAAAGCTAGCTAATCAATTGCCAGATTCCTTTGCTGACCCAAAGAAAGTTACAAAAACGTACATACCAGCTTGTAATGCACCAGTACGTATTGATATCCAAAAGGGAATCAATGAAATTGCTACCGAGTCTAACACACGAAAGAAACGTGGTAGACCAATAGGTTCCAAAGATAAAAATCCTCGAAAATCAAAGAAAGGTGCAATAGGAATCCGAGGTTACTAAGGAAACCATCCCAGACATGGAGATAAGGCCGGCCGGCTCTAAGGTACAGGTACCACATAATGTAGCTTGGGACGCCAAGCTGCAAAATATTAAAGGTCCTGACCATAATAAATCTCAAATCGATTATATCATGTCTGGAACATAATGGAACATATAAGAAATGTCGACATAAGATAATTTTACATGCAAGGTAGCACTTGAATTTATGAATATAAATGAGGATCAGGAGCCCACGTCTATACTAGAGTGCACTCAAAGACTTGATTGATTAAATGGTACAAGACCATAAAACGTGGAGCTAAGAATCATTAAGAAAAGGAATGAGTTTGGTCCGACCTTAAGGACACCATTCGATGTAAAAACCAGTAGGACACAAATGGGTCTTTGTGAAGAAGAGAAATGAGAATAATGAAATCGTGAGATATAAGGCACGGCTTGTAGCACAAGGATTCTCACAAAGACCGGGGATAGATTATGAAGAAACATACTCCCCTGTGGTGGATGCTAAGACATTTAAATTTTGCTAAGTCTGGCTATATAAAGAAAAAGACTTGATTTGCGGCTAATGGATGTAATGCCTGCATATTTATATAAGTCCACTGGATGATATATATGAGATTACCAGAGGGTATTGAGCTCAAAGATAAAGATAAGAAAGGGTCTCGAGACCAATACTGCATAAGGCTGAACAAATCACTTTATGGACTGAAACAAAGTGGACGCATGTGGTACAATAGATTAAGCGAGTACCTAGTCAGAGAAGGTTATAAGAATGATCCCATTAGTCCATGTATCTTCATAAAGAAATTTGCAAACAAAGGGTTTGTAATAATAGCAGTATATGTGGATGATTTAAACATCCTTGAAACCTCTTGGGAAATCGCCCAAACAGTCAAATATCTAAAGAAAGAATTCGAGATGAAAGACCTAGGCAAGACAAAATTCTGTTTGGGATTGCAACTTGAGTACATGAATAATGGAATCCTTGTGCATCAAAAGGCATATACTGAAAAAGTACTCAAGAGATTCAATATGGACCAGGCCCACCCATTGAGCAGCCCAATGGTGGTGAGAAGCCTCGGATTGGATAGTGATCCATTCGGTCCAAAGAAGGATGAGGAAGAAGTTCTCGATCCTGAAGTGCCATACCTTAGTGCCATAGGAGCGTTAATGTACTTGGCTAGCCATACTAGACCAGACATATGTTTTGCCGTGAACCTCCTTTGCCTAAATTTAGTTCATGATCAACCCAAAGGCACTAGAAAGGTTTGAAGGAAGGTTTGGTTAAATTTTAAATTCTATTCTTCCTATGTTTGTTTATTTGGGTTTTATTCTATACTGATCTAACCAAAGAAGGTCTAGTTTGCTTTGGTTTAGTTTGTTTTGCTGATGCAGGTAAAATCAGATTATGGCATGGTCAATAGATAGGAACTACGTGTGGCTTGATCCCTTCCAAGGGTACGTAGGCAGCCTTCTTCAAGGCGCAGCTACTACAACATCAAAGACCATCATATGAGGAGACAACACAGCCTGTATCGCTCAGCTCAAGGACGGCTACATCAAGGGAGATCGGACGAAGCACATTCTAACAAAGTTCTTCTTCACGCATGACTTGCAAATGGATGGAGAAGTTCGAGTGGTACAAGTTCGATCCAGCGACAACTCAGCCGATCTCTTTACCAAGGCATTACCAACATCGACATTGAGGAAGCTCACGCATCAAATTGGAATGCGGAGACTTAAGGACTTGCAGGGATGACCAAAACAGGGGGAGTAATACGTGCTGTACTCTTTTTCCTTAACCATGGTTTTGTCCCAATGGGTTTTCCTGGTAAGGTTTTAATGAGGCAGCATCCCCAAGCGTATTACTGAGATCCTTTGGCATCTACACGGTTATGTCATCCAAGGGGGAGTGTTATAAACCACATGTTGGATGGACTCCATAACCGTGGACCTTATGCATATTCTAGAAGGCCCATGTCCATGTCCTAGAAGGCCCATGCCCATGTTCTTGAAGATTCTCCTTATGACGGCCTATATTGTACTTAGTGGGCTTTTGGGCTTTAGGGTTTACTAGCCCAATGGGGATTTGTCTCCCCTCATCATGTATATATATGTATCGAAATCTCATTCATTAATCAATAGAACAACACAGTTTACAACATAAACCACTATTTTTCTATCCTTTTTTTCCTGAATTTTCCACTTTTTTTATGTTTCTTTTCATTTCCAGATTGATCCGTTTATATGATGACATTTTTTTTTTTTTATTTTTAAGTGGTTGATTGATAATTATTTGAAGAAGGAATACTCAAAATCAATTTCTTTTTTTTTCTTTCAAATTATCCTTTTCTTTTAAATATGCAGATGATTCCAAAACAGATTTTTTTCATTCTTAGTTATCTTTTATTAAAATTATCTTCCATTAGTGCTATATTTATAAACTAAAATCCAAAGCATGTGCAAAAATTTCCTAATACATAACGTATACATATTGATATTATTCTAATGTCATGGGCTTCTCAAACAAATACCCACTATACAACTTAAATACATAAGCCTAAAAAAAAAAATGTGGCCTACAAAATTCAAAATTTTTTTGTGGCTTTGGGCAAATGCCCTTTCCTCTTCCCATTAAGCACGGTACTGAGGACACAAACCACTTTTATCTTCTTTGGAATCTCACATTTTGCAACAATAATGCGGCTTTGGACTTTTGATACTAGGTTCGTCTTTTCCTACACATTAGCATCGATCTGCTTCAGTATGCAGAAGATATTTTCCTGATTAAACCGGACTCTTGAGTTTTTATTGTATTACACCGGTTTAACATCAGCACAAAGAGTCAAGACACAGATGATGGGTTATAGGTAGAGAAAGAGAAACCGTTTCCATGTTTACTTTCTTCCTCTTCCTCTTCTTCTTCAGCATCCCATAGAAACCGAGCATAAGACGCAAGAACATGACTGCAATAAATACCATTCATCAAAGTATTACATTTATCATTTATGTGACCCCAAAAATTATAATCATAATCTATCAATGATGATGTGTTGTATCATCTAGTGCCACACCACATATAAATTGCAGATGCATTGAGAAAAAAAATCCTGAATGGTGTCTCTTTCATATTTGACGTGTGAGGCTATTGTTCTGATACAAATTGACCAATCACTTCTTCAAAGGTTGGATATAGAGGAAATAACATTTGATCCACAAGGTTCATTCATATGAAATAATCTAACAATCTACAAAACATGGTTTGAAGTTCTTAACTTAAATCATGGAGAGCTCTTAAGAAAGCCCAAATCCAAAGTCAAGTCATAGTTGTCGGATATCGATCATTAGGGTTCTAAGCGCTAAAGCAGATTATCGTTACACTTACCAGTCATCAGGAGAAAATTGAACAGCTTGATCAAAGTAAGAGTGAGCACGAACACCGTCTCCGTGATTTTTCCATATCAAATCTCCATACATAGACAGTAACTCTCCATCTCTTCCATTCTCAGACAACATCGCTGTCTCACATGAATTAGTAGATTCAACCAATCAAAAACCTAAAATTAAGAACAAAGGTCGACTTCTATATTACCAATAATAGGTACTAACTTGTCTCTATATATAGTATTAGTAGCATCACGTGATTTTTATCGAAATACGGTAAATAAAGTTTCCCAAATTAGCAAGTATTAAAACACAATCTTGAAAAACAGAGGAGAGACTAAAAACAAACCTCTTTGAGGAAACGAGCGTAGTTAGAGAGAAGAAGAGTGTCTCCGGGATAACGTTGGATCATCTCTTCATAATAACCATCTACGTTCCCACCTCCAACTCCACCGCCACCTCCGGCACCATCTCCGCCTCTACCACCAAATCCACCGTTGGAACCTCCATGGGTGAGCCGAGATCCTTCCAAAACCCTATACGACGCAGTTTCTTCGTGGTAAACGCTGATCGTTTTCGTTCTACTCTCCGGCGACTGAATCTTGTAAAGATTTCCATCTGAAGAAGCTCTCGTAATCGGTTTAGCAACACGAGGAGAAGAAGCAGAGACGGTTCGAGCCGTGGTTACCACCCGTGGAACAGACGGTTTCTGGGCGGCGCGTAGGTTAAGGTCCAGTGACGACGCGCTTCTCATTATCATATTGTTAGTTCTTGTGGGGAAGTTTTCAGTGGAGGGAGAGAAGAGAGATGAAAAGATTTTTAGACTGCAAAAATATCATGGAGTTTCCGTTCTTGTCAGCCCCCCACTATTGGTTAGTATTATCAAATTGACCCCAAAGTCTTAAAATTTATAACCACACCATTGCATCATTACATAGTCATACTAAAAGCCACTTGAAATAATAAAAACATTTGCATTATCAGGCCATAAACATAAGTAGCCTTTTTCTGTAAATTCTACGACTATCGTAACTAGCTTTCATTTTTGGGGATTGTTTATTTACATATATCAAATCTTATCGGAAAACAATTGTTATAGTCTTCAGGACCACCATAATCGAATACCCTAAAGAAAATATTTCAATTTGATTGGCCACCGAAAAACTTAAGTAACTGGATCAAAGAATTTGATTCTGTCCCACAAATAAGTTACTTTCCATTCTTGAACTTACTTCCACGGTAATGACTCATGAGTCATGACCAAACATGGATATATCGAATAATTTCGCTGGAATTGATGAAAAATTACAGACAAGCTTTGATAGTAATTTATTGACTAATTGATGATGATTTTACTATGACCTAGGAATAACGGAATAACTATGTGAAAGTTTTATAAATGTAAATTTTCTACTATGATAAAGTTTTACTATGACCCAGTTAATATATAAATGTTCACTATACAAAATAATCTATTTTTTTTCATCAGTAATATATATATGTGGCAGGATAAAAAATAAAGAAATTGACCATGAGGTTAACCAAATTTCATAATTTATAAAAGGGCAATAAATATTATATGGAACTTGAAAAAAGTAATTAAACTGTAGTTTTTTTGGGTTCTTTATATATAATTTTTTTTTTTTGAATGGATCATATTATCCTTCTTCCTCCGATCCCAAACATCAACAAGGAAATGCACCATCTCCTTTAACAATGGCCTTGTTCTTTTCTATGTCGCTAGCGACATTAATGAGCAACTGAAAAAACAACTTAATTTTTAATTGGATCTAAAACCAGCGACAAGTTATAAGTGAGAGACGGTGAGAAACGAAGAGCAATTGAGTCGCCGCGTCGGATATAATGGACGCTACAAAATTTAGCGACATCTGGGATACCTATCACGGAGAATTTTGAGGAAGAAATGATCTCACATCAAAAACCTAGCGACACAAAGAAGGGAGAAATAAGTGTAATTTTCAATAGCCGGAAGTTGTCGCTAGCGACTTCGTAAAGAACAAGGCCTTTAGTATAATTCGTTTGTTAATTGTATATGCCAAATGGTACACGGGAATGAAAATACGAACGCAAACACATAAGTTCTTGGCATCTAAAACAACCTAGCTAGGCCTTAGAACATTCAGATAGTTACCATGGTTTACAAATTCGGTAGAGTTGCTTGTGCTGCATTGGGGATCAAAAAGCGGGTTTGAAGATTGGGACCGAATCGTGATATTGTGGTCCATATCACATGTACTTGTGCTCCAGAGACCATCTGATGAACCACCATCTTTCTTCACTACCCTTCCTTGGATTTTGAGTCCCTTTGATGGCTCATCGACTTCCACAACTAAAGGTCTTTCTCTATTGCAGCATCCGAAACAGTTTATGCTCTGATCATAAATATACAGTATAAAGATTAACATTTCAGTCATCTTTTGCTATGTTCTATTAAGGAAAAATGTTTCTCAGCTACGCCAACAATACGTCATCACATCGTCACACATGCAGACAAATAAAATGTTGCCAAAATTACACCAACTACTGTAATCACATAACGACATTTACGAACTAACATGAGTTATGGAGCCAACACCATAAACATACATTCCAGTACCGTTCCGGTGAAAGATGCGACGGAATCCAATTTTAAACCCGACCCATATTCAATTAAAACCCGACCCGGACGCAATTTAAAACCCGACCAAAAAAAAAAAATCTGAGATTAACTGGGCCTAAACCAGGCCCAAAACGAATTTAACCTAACCAAATCCATTAACTTAATAAAACTCTCTAATCCCTTTGCGATTCCTTTTGCGTTTTAGGGTTCTTGAGAGAAGTAGAGTGAGCTTCGAATCACCAGAATCCTTGTCCAACATTGTCACGATTTGAAGCTTAGAAAGTGAATCGCACGGAATCTAGTTCCAATGAGGTAAGAACTCGATTTTTCTAGGTTTATTTATGGCTTTCGAAACATAACAGATCCCGACATTTGGGGTTTGGGATTTTAAATTATTTCTGAAAATTTCTGTTGATTTCTTTTGGGGTTTTGTTGGTTTTATATGTAGGGTCGATTTCAATTAGTGGGTTGTTTAAAAAGAAAGATTTCATAATGCGTTTCTCGGCCATCCTTGAACCTCTTCTTCATCATACCACTTAAAAAATTTGCAGTGCTCACTTCCTCCATCCTACAAACATCAAAAACACTCATTTGTTCCCAATTCTCTACATCTCGGTCTCTCAGTCAAACGAACATAAATCAAAACATACCTTGTAGTCTTGTACATCTTACACCCGAAAAACCTTCTACCAGGATTCTTCTCTGTCTTCGATTTGTATATCTTCGCCGGCAATCCACAATTACACTTTTTCAGAGCTCCAGACGATCTACTCATACTAGATGACCCACTAATTGTATCCATCTTACAGAAAATCAGACAACAAACTCTTCTATTAGACATTTCAACAAACAACTAAAATCAGACAATTAAACTCCTCTATTAAACATTCTTGTTCAATTATAGCCAAAATAAATACGAAATCTTTTCCATTACCACAATCAACACGCAAATTTGTCCCATTATACTCATCGAGTATTCAAACCTATTCTCAGATTCGTAAGAAATCAAATTACATCATACCTGTTTCAAACCCGATGAAACCCGAGAATTGGCTAGATTCTAACAGAGATTTAGAAATCTCTTTCCCTCAACACACCTCACCCACACAAACACTTCTAAGCTCTCGAAACCAGACTTAAGAACAGAGAATCGACATTCTAATTTAGGTTGGTTTTAATTTCGGGTTAGGTTTTATTTTAATTTGGTTTTTTTTTTTTTTTTTTTTTTTTTTTTTTTTTTTTAAATCTGGGTCGGGTTTTAATTGAATATGGGTCGGGTATAAAATTGGGTATCTCCGGTGCTGGATTCCGTCGCGTCTTTCACCGGAATGTATGTTTATGGTGTTGGCACCATAACTCATGTTAGTTCGTGCATGTCGTTATGTGATTACAGTAGTTGGTGTAGTTTTCGCAACATTTTCTTTGTCTGCATGTGTGACGATGTGTTGACGTATTGTTGGCGTAGCTGAGATACATTTTCCCTTCTATTAATATATATGTGTGATCTACGTGAAAAAAAGAAATCAATTTGGTTCTCCCGGTGGCTCACAAATCACAATGATGAGATTTTTGCACTTTGATCTTAGAGATTCCATGAGCCAAAAAGGGAGAGCTCGAAAGTAAGCTGCCAGGAATTGGAAGAAAGAGCAACAACGCTTCTCACTAAATTGTGTTTTTTTTTTTGCTAACTTGTAAATATCATATAAATGAAATGGAAGGTATTACAAAATGTTTAACCTAAAGATAGAGTAACCTTGGCAAAAAGAATAAAAACAAGGTTACAATGCTTAAGAGAAAGAGATAGAACTAATCCGTGATTAACGAATCCAAAGAAGCATAAGCTTCCTCCATCTCTTCTTGTATCTTCTTCCGGAAATGGTATTTCGGATCTCTCGATCAATATTCTTGAAAATAATTGAGGGAGGGACCTTATGGTTGTTGTGGAGAACGTCGTTCCTCTGTTTACTAAATTGTGTTTGTGCTTTTATATATCAAGAATGAATAACAAGAAGTCAAGAAAACATAGCTAGCTAATACATAGGACAAAATCGGGAGAGAGAATTGAGGAAACTCAGAAAAGATTAGCATGGAAGTATAGTAATATATGCCTCGTATCGTATGAGAAGCAAACACACTTAATCACAAAAATATTCCATGCATAGGTTAGATTAACTTACAAGCAAGCAAGGCATAATTACATATTTTAAGTTGATTTAGTGAAAAAAAAAGAAAAAAAAAGTTGATTTAGTACAAAGTATGTCTCTGGCCTGAAGCACATATATACATTCACATGATTTAATAGAATCTTGAAAGAAATAAAGAAACAAATCAAACAAACAAACAAAAGTTTATAGACCTTCCAAAAGAAGGGTATTTTTAAACCTCAATCATTATTATGTTGATTTTATATTTCCTCTCTTCTTCAGGTTAGTCACATGTTTACAAAACCTTTCTTTTTTCATGTATACTATGGACATTTTCGTTTGTTTTCTAACGTAGTTGTAACTAAACAAAATAAGTTGTGGCACATTTTAAAATGAGATCGACTTATATAGTAATGAATCTATGTGAACTATTGATATATGATTCAAAAAAAAAAACATGCAACACATAGATAAGTAGATAACTATATTTCTAATATCCGGTATTATGTTTCTAAATCTCTTTTGGCAACGAAGAAATTTCATGATCTAGACCTGTAATCTCATAAGAAGGAACTTGTAATCAATCTCTAAGAATTTTTTTCTTTTTGAGTAATTAGTATACCGATAAGCTTTGGCCTTCAACTAGAAATCAAACGAATAACCCAATTTCAGTTTGGTTTATTTCGGTTATTTGTTGGTTTAAAGTTTTTTTCTTTTTCCCATGAGCATAACCAGGAGCCAATTGAATGCATGATCTTCTAGTACAAACTGTAAAGTATTATTATTTCCCTTTCAGTATCAAGTCGTAAAAACATCGGTTTTCACTTTTGACAAGAAAAAAGGGAGTAAAGTTTTTGATTAAACCCGTCGGTGAGTTAATTTCTCATTAATTGGTGCAGGTCTACGGAATCCATGGAATGAGCTAAGGTGGAGCCACCCGTACCAGATCATTTCCACCCAATTCCCACTAACAACCAGATGGTATTAGATTTGATTCCCCAACTCCTTAAAGACGCATTAATATATTTCCGAAAATACCCTTTATAACGTTAACATTAAAAGGTGACAAAACGAAGTCGTTTCTTTCGAGAAAGCACACCACCACCACCACCATGTTCTCCACAGCTTCAGATGCGGCTTCTTTGCTTCAATTTTGAATACCAAAAAGAGAGAGAGAGAGAGAGAACAACAGAGAATAAGAAATACGAGCTGATCACACTCTCGGAATCTGGGTTTTCGCTACTGATTCGTTGATTTGATCATCGTCGTTGTCGTTGTCGTTGTTGCGGAATCGTCAGAGATCAAAAAGATGTTTGATGGTATCTTAGGCCGCGGATTTGCTCCCAAGGGGTTTGTCTTCTTTCTCCATCTCTTTTCCTACGATTTTACTCTCTTCTCTGTGGGTAAATCGATTTTCATTGTGTGATTTTTGATTCGACCAGAAAACCACTGATAAAACTGACTAAGAATCGGATCGATGTTCTTCGGAGAAAGAGAACTGCCACGATCAAGTTTCTGAAGAAAGATTTGGCTGATCTGGTCATTAACGGTCATGACCACAATGCTTTTAGCAGGGTAACTTTTTGTTGTCCTGTTTTGCTTTCTTTTAAGATTTGACAAGAAATTGATTCGGATTATTTTTGATGATTTTGTATTGTGTTTTGATACATCTAGGCAGGAGGGCTTCTTGATGAACTAAGGTATCTGTGGAGTCTTGACTTTGTTGAGCAGACCTGTGATTTCGTTTACAAGCAGCTCTCTACCATGCAAAAGACGCCGTAAGTTTTCTTCTATTCAATGCCTTTGATATATGTTGTTGTATGAGAGATTTCCATGTTAGCCTATTTTTTATTTGTGTTATGTTTTTATTTTTGGCCATTCTGCTAGATTATTAGGATAATCTTACTTTTATGTTTTTGGCTTGTGTTATTCATGAGTTGTTGTAACCTACTCTGACTAGATGAAAAGCTTTTTTGCACATCAATGTGTTAGGTTTTAAATTGACTATCAGGTGAAAAGACTGAATATCTACAACTATTGTCAGAGTTACCTCATGTTTTGGCATTTTTCTATCCATACTGTTCCTGTTTCCTTAGTGATGAGAATTGTGTTCTGTGGCTTAAGGGAACATTCTCAAAGATGATTCAAGTGTTTTGTTCTAGGTGGAAACAGGGTTTGATTTATTAGTTGATATGAGTTTTTTTTATTTCCAGGGAATGTCCAGAAGATTGTCGTGAAGCTGTATCCTCGTTAATGTTTGCAGCCTCGGGATTTTCCGAGTTGCCTGAGCTGCGTGAACTGAGGCAAATGTTTCATGAAAAATACACAGATTCACTTGCATTGTTTGTCAACCAAGAGGTAAAGAGTTCTTCTAGTGTATCTCATCTTGAAATCTTATACAGCATACACGGTTAGGTTAACCATCTGCTTGTTTCTTGTACAGCTTGTTGAGAATATGTCATCAAAGCCATTTTCTCTGGAGCAGAAAGTGAAGTTAATGGAAGATGTTGCATCGGAGTATTCTATTCGTTGGGATTCTAAAGATTTTGAGAAGAGGATTGTGAGACATAATAGTATTTCAGTAAAGGTATGACAATGACTCATTTGTTTTAGGGGACAACTAAACTGAAATATTTGGATAGTGATAGAATTATGATTTCTCTCTTGGACATAAACAGGAGACCCCAAAAAGCACTTACGACAAGTACAAGCCTGTTAACAGAAACATGGCCTTGCCAAAAAGAGAAGAGTTTGAAGGTTCTGAAAATGGGGTTAGCTTGAACCGAAAAATGGCTGAGGCATCAGAAAGAAGAGATCCTTTGTTTCAATCTGATAAAGAAAGTTATCAGAATGGTCTCAGAGGAAATCATCATGGGCTAACATCTAAAGAAAGGTCAGATAATGTTCGTCACGCCTCCAGATCCGAAAGCAAGGACAATAAAGCAGAAAGGAAAGAGTTTTATTTGCATTCTAAGCAAGACCCTGCTAGAGAAAAACATCAACCTATTTTCAACGAAGGTGACACTATAGTGATGAAGGTCAACCGTGAGAATCTCGGTCAAGGCAATGGACATCGGCCTGGTGTAGTTGATGCGCATAAGAAAAACGAGGTTGTTGCCTCAGAAAGGAAAGAGTATTATATGCAATCTAAGCAAGAACCTTCTAGAGAAAGACATCAACCTATTTTTAATGAAGGTGACACTATCGTAATGAAGGTCAAGCATGAGAACCACGTTCAAGGGAATGGACATCAAAATGGTGTAGTTGATCTGCATAAGAAAACAGAGGTTATTGCTTCAGAGAAACTTAAGCCTAGCAGCACCAAAAGAGCCGACAAGTTAGTTATCGGCTTTAAACAAGAGAGTTTCTTTCAAGGGTACAAACATGAGAAAAATGAAGATCATGAACATCAGAAAGAGAAAGATAATACCTCAAGACCTCCGAAGCCAAGTAGCAAGTCAAAGAGAGCGGAATCTATTGATCCAGGTTCGAGACATCGTAATGATCTGGAGAGTAAAGAAAATGCAGTTCTTGTGGGAAAGAGCACGGAAGAAGATCCATCTGGTGGTAACGTTAAGGGTGGTGTATATGAGAATGATTATGCAAATCCAGCAAGGAAAGTTGAGGAGCGAGAAACAGAGAGAATGAAATCACCCTTCTACAAATCCCTTCCACCTCCGTATGTTAAAAAATCTAGTGCTAAAGCAAGGAATGAAAAAGCTGAAGCTTCAGATAATCCAAAGGCTCGTTTTGGTGGTGAAGAAGGAAATCATCCAGACAATGATAAGAATGTTTATGGGGCAGATAGAGGAAATGAAGCAGGTCATCATGAAGTGAATGACATAGATAATCCATCTCTGAAACGGCGAACTAGCAGAAGAAAACACATTGTAGAATCGGGTGGTGATGATCATACAAGAAGCCGAAGAAGGGAAAATTCAAGGAAAGGCCTTCAAGTCTTAATTGATGAGGATGAGAAGGACAGTGAGGAGAAGCTGATGGATAAACTTCTGATGCATTACAGTAAAAAACCTTCAAGTTATGAAAAGGACAATGTGCAACAAGAATCCAAAAGCAGACGTACACATCTTAAAAAAGGTGAATCTGATGAAGAGATGATGATTTATCAACCAGCTCGGTCACGTTCTCTACCCCCTGAACACTTGGCCGGGCCATCTGAACCTGCAAAAACATTTGCCCGTGCTGCCTCATTTCAGCCAAAACGTTCGAGTGAAGCTAAGCACGTTCACCCCAAGTTACCAAACTATGACGATTTGGCTGCCAGATTTGCAGAGCTTAAAGGAAGGTAAATATATGAACAGTTGATGCCTAGAAACATAGAATTAAATATCCTGTTACACATTTTCTTACTTCTTGATATACTACTTGTCCCATATTGCCATGTATGTTGTGTTTTTTATAATAGTTGTAATTGGGAGAGTGACACATTGTTATGGACCCAAGAGTTGGTGATCATCTCCTTGTTTTTGGATCATCCTATGTAACCGTTTGAAAACAAGGATCTGTTTAGAAAAAGAGAAAGTGGTTACCACACTGTTTATTACCAATTTACCATGATTTTTAGTTTTTAACTTTTTATCTGAATGCCCATGATAAGAAAAAACAAAACTATTAAAGGGGAAAAAATCGATCATGTGTTTGAAAACAAGGATCTGTTTAGAAAAAGGGAAAGTGATTACCACACAGTTTATTAGCGAATTATTTGTTGATTACCATGATTTTTCATTGAAGGTTTAGGTCACTAACTTACTCCCTCCGTTTCAGTTTAGTTGTCGTTTTAGGATTTAAATTTTGTTTCATAATAGTTGTCGTTTTATGTTTTCAATGCAAATGTTTGGTGAAAATTCCAGTTTTATCCCTATAGTTTTAATGTTTTGGCCAATGAATTTTTTTATAAAATATATTAATCAAAAGAGTAAAACAGAAAATTTAATATTTTCTTAATTTGTGTGAAAAAACCTTAAACGACAACTAAAACGAAACGGAGGGAGTACAAGCTAATGACGTCGATTTGTTGAGGCTATCAAACAAAATCAATATGTAAATGAACTTATTTGACATTTAATGTCTTTTAATTACTTTGTCTTTGGATCTCATGGCACATAAATTATGGGATTCAAACTTAAGATTGGAAGTGTAAAAGCATTTTATTTTCTAACACTTTCTCCCTCTCCTTACTCTTTAAAAATCACGTCGCCGACTCGCCGTGGTTTCTAGAATGCTCGTCATCCTCAGGAGAAAGAGAAGTTGTTCAAGACAAATCTTGTGCCAAAATTGTTTTTCTTTTTTCTTTATTTTATTATATATATATTATACTTTGTAGATTCTTATGGTGAAAAAAATAAATTTCTTGACGAAAGGATAGCTTTATGTTTTGGTGGCCGTGGCAATCTACTCCCCTCAAAATCCTCTAGACCGATGATTCTACCGTCAAAATATCTATCTAGATGTCGCTGAAAACGAAGGCAGATGTATTGTTCGGAATAAGGATCATAGTGTAAGACCATAAAACCGAATGTCTTTTGGTTTTCCCATAACATGAATGTCTGCATCATAAAGTACCTTACTCTCCCTAGTGTTTGGGTAGTATATGACAACACTATGCTCATTCTCAACAATGATCAAACCACGTACGGATGCAATCATAGGAAACTGGATTGGTAGCGACGCGAGGTCTACTTCATCTCCAAGTCTGCAGACCAAACACTCAAGCAAAGTTTAGCAGAAGTCATTAGGTAGCGCCAATTTGCCCACTGCTTCAAGGGAAAAGCTATCCCCAACTATTTCGGTGGTTGGCGGTGACGCAAGGAAGCTTAGACTTCGATTTCCACGGTTGCAGACAATGAATAGATGTCGGGAAATAGAAGGATACCTAAATCCTCGATTGCAGATGGTGAAAAAGAAATTGTTGAAGAGAAATCTTGCAATTGTGCAAAAAATGTTTTTTTTTTCTTTATGTATATATGTAGATTTTTATGGTGAAAAGAATAAATTTTGTGACAAACTATGTCACGTGTATAGTATTTAACTGTAGAACCAAAGACTAATCCAAAATAAAAGTAAATAGTTGGAAATGATTTTTCCGAATGTATGCTGCAAAAGCTAGAAAATAATTGAAAACTACAGTACATTTTTAGTTAATTTACTTAAAAATTGTCATATGTGGGAATATATATTCATCCTCCTTGAATAAATACTTTTAACCACGGTTTGTGGGTGACGCATTTCAGACTTTGCATCTGTCATCCAACACATGGAAACTTACTTCATCATTGACACATTTGAAATCAATTCAATTCAAATCGTGTCCGGCTATAGTCATGTATGTTGTGTTTTGTTATAATATGTGAAATTGGGAGAGTCACACATTGCTATAGTCCCCAAAAGTTGTTGATCATGATGTCTCTTTGCTTTTGGATCGTATGTAACAGTTTGAAAACAATGATCTGTTTAGAAAAAGAGAAAGTGATTACCACACAGTTTTATAAGCAAATTATTTGTTGATTACCATTATTTCTTCATTAGGTCCTAACCAGTACTAACTAACAAGCTAACATATACAAGATATAAATTGACATCAAAATTACCCAGAATTGTAAGTTGATTGATTTTACTGAGAATATTTTGAGTTTTTTTTTTATTACTATATGATAAGATAAAAACAACACTCAACTACTATTAATTAAAGGGCAAAAGTCAATGGGAACCCTTTTAAGTTTTAAAAGCAAAAAGTCAACATGAGCTGCACAGGGAGCAGAGAAGTCCCCAAATTCAATCACAAACCCTAAATTGTTCTTCTCCCGATTTCTGCCCAGCAATTGCGGGATCGCTGTGACATTGAAACCTCAATTTCGAGGGCTCTACGCACTTTCGCAGTGTGCTACACTTTCAGAACAAGCCCTGGTGGTTTAAATTGGTGAAAATGAGTAGATATCTAGCAAGATATATGGTGTCTAGATACTTGTCCTCTGTTTCTTCCCGTCCTCTGCACGTTTGCATCGTTGGAAGTGGACCTGCTGGTCTCTATACTGCTGACAAGGTACACTTGGTGAACCAGATTTTGCGATTTATATCTCGTCAATTAACTGGTAATTTGATGGCTAGTAATCAGGTATTGAAGGCGCATGAAGGAGCGCATGTAGATATAATCGATCGATTACCTACACCTTTTGGACTTGTTCGGTCTGGTGTTGCGCCTGACCATCCTGAAACTAAGGTACCACTGCTCAGCCGTAACCTTGTTTAAAGAGAGAGAGGGAGTAGGATGTTCTCCATTGAGCTTAAAATGTCAACCACAATGCTTTCTACAGATTGCCATTAATCAGTTCTCACGTGTGGCCAAACACGAGCGTTGCTCTTTTTATGGGAATGTAAAGCTTGGATCAGATTTATTACTTTCTGAGCTGCGGGATTTGTATCATGTGGTATGACTTGCCTTAACTATGTATGCTCGCTCTTTTATGATTTAGATTAGCAACTAATTAGCTCAAAAGTGTCTCTAATGAAATCTTATGTTACTAATTAGCAAACCAATTACACGTACCAAATGCTATTTTACTTATTGCGTGTTCAGGTTGTACTTGCGTATGGTGCTGAAAGTGACAAAGATCTTGGCATTCCAGGTGAGGTATGCCAATTACAAGTTTCATGTGGTGGAATTAGGTGTTTAAATAGGTTTTGCGTAAGTTGATGTATTTTGGCTGCTTATACTTGTTGGTAGAGTTTGAGTGGTATATACTCTGCAAGAGAATTCGTCTGGTGGTATAATGGGCATCCCGACTACAGTAGTTTGAAACCTGACTTAAAAAGCTCCGACACAGCTGTCATTCTTGGCCAGGTACTCTAATATATGGTTTGTGATCCTCATTTTGCTAAAGACGCCTTAAATTCTAAGAATCAGATCATTCTACTTTCTGAACAATATTGGTTTTTGTTTTCTATCCTTACCACTGTAACAGGATTTACATATCAATAACAGTTTGATAACAAAATCTTCTGGTAAATTCATTTCTCAAGACCTCTCTCACATATGATCCTTCAAATCTTAGGGTAATGTAGCACTAGATGTCGCTCGGATTCTATTAAGACCGACAACAGAGTTGGCGTCAACTGATATTGCTAGACATGCTTTATCTGTGCTGGAAGAAAGTTCTATAAGGTCCCATTTAACTTGTTAAATCTTTTTCCATTCCATCTTTCGTATAGTTGACAACCAACTATAGTCCCTGATACAAAGTTGTAACGTGTTCAGGAAGGTGTATCTCATCGGAAGACGGGGGCCAGTTCAAGCAGCATTGACTGCTAAAGAGCTTCGAGAAGTTCTCGGTATCATTCATATCTAAATCATATACTGATCTTTTGATTTTTGTTGATAGATCCCACATAAGAAAAGCAATTGTGTGTGGGTTTTATAAAAATGTGGTTTGGGTGTGTGCTGCCAGTTTTCAGCCTGCACCCTATATAAGGTGTAGTGTGGTTGAATGACTTTTTTTTTTTTATCAATCTACGTTTAACATTCCTTGGATAAATGGGTAGGTGATTCACCGGTCTCTCTAAGTAGCAGCAAAACTATATTTCAGGATATGAACAGACCTTGAGTTTTTTTGTTTTTCTTACATTTAGTTAAAGTACTTGCTGGACACATCTATCTTTAGTTTTACTGTCTATGTTTGATCTGCTGCATATGGGACAGCTATGGTGAATATTTTTCTGCATTAGTTGATACTATATAAGATGTTGAATAGCAAAAATTTACTCCTTTGCCTTAATTTGCTTGTCTTGGCGTTCTCAGGTTTTTGTGAGATAATAACACACCGTTTTGTCTCTGTTTTCTATGACTTCTTTTTAAGATCTTCCTGTCTTTTCGTTACCTGAACTATCTTTAATGGTTTGTTGCTCGTTGGCGTTGGTTATTTTCCCATTGATATGAATATAAATGGATATCATTTTCTAAAGCAGGGATTAAGAACTTGCGGATTCGAATAAAGGAGACTGACTTGAGTTTAACGCCTGCTGATGAGGTACTTGTGTAGTTGTGTTTCTTGATTCTAAATTAAGTAAGGCTGAACTCTGTTATTTGCATTTTAGTGAAATTGTTTATATCTCCACAAACTTTTTCCTGACACCTTTTTTTTTTCGAAGGAAGAAATGAAAAATAGTAGAGCCAGAAAGAGGATCTATGAATTACTGTCCAAGGCTGCAGCAGCAGCAGCAGGAACATCCGAAGCAGACCCTGACCAGCGAGAGCTGCACTTTGTTTTCTTCCGCCAACCTGACCGGTTCTTAGAGTCAGATGAAAGAAAGGGGCATGTTTCCGGTGTAAACTTGGAAAAAACCATTCTTGAAAGTAAGTGCACCTCAAAGCAAAACTTTTATCGTATTGCGGTTCGTCTGTAGATTGCTTAGCTGGAGACAAAAAAGGAATGGTGATTTCTTTCTTAGTATACAATAGTACATTTTGCTAACTTTTCATCCATATCTTCTGTAAAGGTGTTGGAAGCGGAAAACAAATTGCAGTTGGTACAGGAGAGTTTGAGGATCTTAATTGCAGGTAATGTGCTTTCTAATGAAAGGTCTTTAGTGCATTTCTGTTGTTACTGATATATCAAGAATTATAACAAATCAAATGGAGCATGTTCAATGTTGCAGTATGGTGCTGAAGGCCATTGGTTACAAGTCGGTTCCGATCAATGGTTTACCATTTGATCACAAGAAAGGTTGTATAATATGAAAGTGTTATATTAGTTTCTACGAGAAAAAAATATGAAGTTGTTCTGATTTTTTGTGTCCGCCCGAATTGTTTGATTCAAGGTGTTGTTCCGAATGTAAGGGGTCGAGTGGTTAGTCAGACGTCAGGAGACATATCACAGACTGAACCCGGCTTATACGTATGTGGGTGGCTCAAAAGAGGACCAGTAGGCATTATTGCCACAAACCTTTACTGTGCCGAAGAAACGGTAAGCAACAAGCTTGTCCACCCTGAAAAAATAGAACTGATGCTCTTAAACTGGGAGAATAAAATGTGTTTGTTGCAGGTTGGTAGCATAAGCGAAGACATTGAAGAAGGTGTTTGTAAGAGCTCAAAAGCAGGAAGCAAAGGACTGATGGAATTGCTGGAGAAGAGAAAAGTGAAGAAGGTAGAGTTTAGTGGGTGGGAGAAGATTGATGCCAAAGAAAAACAAATGGGGATTGAGAAAAACAAACCCAGAGAAAAATTAGTCACATGGGAGGATCTTTTAGCAGCAGCAGCCAACTAGGGCCTCCTGGGCTATATTTTGTTTTTTTTTCAATTAATAAAATTAATGATAGTCAATTTTTTTTGGGTCAGAACTAAGAGAATCAATGATTTAGTCTAGTAGACGAAAAAAATATTACTTTCCATTTGTTTATTTTTTTCAAATACAAATCCATATTATTTTACATAATAATGTGGTATTATTATTCTGATTAATATGCTAGTTAAAAGTTTATTCTAATCTAAACAGTAAACAATATACTTAGATGTTTAAGATTTGTTTGTTTGTTATGCAAATATAGATGTTTTTTTTAATATTTTAAATGTAAAATTGAAGCTTCCTTAGTTTTCTAATTTAACTATATTTAAACTTTAAATTAAATTTTTTTAGTGTAATTGAATTTACCTACCAATTGAATGCAAATAAATCACTCTTACAGCTGAAAGAGAAAGCATTAAAGAAAATTTAAAAGATTTATTTCAATAATCTGTTTCCAGTTTCCAGATCATTATTTAAATTAAACATGACTGTGTATTCTAAAGCTGATATTTTCAATTTTAATTTCTCAATACTTATCCGTGTATATTATCAAGATGAAATTTAGTTTTATTAGTCAATTAAGATTTAGTTGGGAAGGTGGCATGGGTATCTTCTTAGAATTATAATAAGTTCATAATTTCGAAATATTGACAAGTAATCAAAAGCATTGTACGACTCTCAACTTCCAACTCAACAATATAAATAGATCTTCAAATCAAGATAAAATTGTGAGACAATACATTCCTCTGTACATGTTCTATATATTTTTTTTAAAATATGAAGGATTTTAAAACATTGTTCTCAGTGATCATAATTATATCCTACTATTTGGAATACGGAGAAGGCCAGAAAATTCTAAGCATCAAGGATTTTATACTTAAAACTAATCACACCATCATTGATTATTCTCAAGTAATCGTTTTCTTAAAACTGATAAGCAGTTAGATTATCAAAATAAAAGTAATAGTTTCCACTAACATATAAAAACTATATCATTTTTTACAGGCCTTTCACGAAGCATGGAAAGGATTATGCGAAGATGAAACACCCAACGGGTCAGCTTTAGTGATACGAAAGAACGAAACATACACTTTACAACCATTAATTTTTCGAGGTCCATGTGTATCTTCTAAGATTCATATTCAGGTACTTTTCAAGATGTTAAGTGATGTATATAAAGATCTTGCCAAAAAAAAAATAACTCTTAGCTTCAGAACATGTTTATTTTAACAAGGGTAATTATAAGAAATATTTTATTTTAATGAATAGACGATAGATCACAATATATATCGAGCCAAACACTTGGTGCACATATACATACACATTGTACATACATAATTCACATGCATGTATGATTCTTTTTCTTTTTGATAAGATTGATGGAAAACTCGAAGGGCCAAGGAAGCCGATATATTGGAAAAACACAGAAAAAAAGAGTTGGTTAGGTTTCAGGGATGTAGAAGGTCTCGTCATCAACGGCTCAGGAGTGCTTAATCCTCATGGGGAAGCTTGGTGGAAATCTGTTAGTCACTCTAAACGACCAACGGTAAGTCATTCCCAACACAATCCTTTTAGTATATATATCTTTTACTTTTCTATATATATATATATGAAACCACACAAATTATACAAATGAATTTATTCGTGTATGAACAAGTGCTAACTTTTATAAATAACTTTTCAAATGAAAATCAGGGTTATACCAAAGTAAACAAGAGCTAATTTTTCTTAAAATAAATGTATTATCTTAGATGTTTATTATTATGAATATATAATCAATAACTTATCACGTTTTTGCATCTACAGACAATTAGTTTTGAGTCCTGCACTGACATTATATATAATGGACTAACTCAAATAAATAGCCCAAAAAATCACATTTCAATTTATGGTTGCACCAATGCAACTTTATCAAATCTTGATATAAGCGCACCCGAAGACAGTCCAAACACTGATGGTATCAATATTTGTCTTTCACACAAAATCCAAATCTTAGACTCCTCTATTCAAACTGGTAATCTTCGTTCTTCCTTTTGTTTGAATTTTAATATACTGTGTTTACTTGGATTAAATTTTGGAAAGTGTGCTAAATTTCTTTATGGATGTGCATGTTTCTTACATGTTAGGTGATGATTGTGTTGCAATTACTGGTGGAAGGGGTGGTTCTTCAGATATCAACATTACTGGTGTGGCATGTGGTCCGGGCCACGGTATCAGGTTTGTAGAATATAAAAGTACAAAGAACTTTGAAATCATCAATATTTTTGTATACGTGCATGAATCGATTTTTTATATTTACACCACAAGTTACTGTTTCAAACTAGATTATTATATTTTTGTTGTAAAAAATTATTTTACATGATTTTCTACTAAAATTAAATTGTTTACTAAGTCTTAAACTTAAAACAAAATCCAGTATTGGGAGTTTGGGGAAAGATGATGAGACAGATGACATAGTCGAAAACGTGATCGTAAGAAGCTGTAGTTTTACTGGAACTCAAAATGGAGCAAGAATCAAGACTTGGCAAGTAAGTTTTTACTTTTCCATCTTTTCTTTGTAAGCAAAATATTTTATTTCTGTTTAAACATCGTGGAATTTACATAATTTTCATAGGGAGGACAAGGGTTGGCCAAAAATATTTTGTATGAAAATATTACATTGATAGATGCTGGATACCCCATTATCATCAATCAACATTATTTTGACAAGAGTAATTACCTAAAGGTAATTTTCAAACTTTTTTTTTATTTGAATATACAAATCATAGTATTTATTAGGAATCTAATATATATACATATATAGTTATATGTTGTATGTTATGATCCTTATAAATAACTAGTAAATCATTTGCATTTCGTCCTGTAAACCAAAACTTTACCGGATGCATATAAAAGAAATTTGATTAAATATTGTAATGTACTAACTAATGTATCATACTGCATTGTAATTTTTAGGATTCAATTCTTACTGAATGCAAGCTAATGATATGCTATGAAATTTATAGGAAAATGCAGTGAAAGTGAACAACATAACATTTAGGTACTTTGAAGGGACTAGCTCAAGTGAAATTGCGATAAAGCTAGACTGTGACGAAACAGAGAATTGCCAAAACATCACGATGGAACACATCAACATCACATCTCCAACCCCGGGTAAAAATCTCACCGCATATTGTAAATTCGCCGATGTGTGTAGTTCATTTGTCAACATTGATGTCGATTGTAATACAAATGAGGATCATCATCAACCTCATATATTGTCTCCTCTTCCATAAACTATCTAGAACAAATTATACTGATAATATATAGTTGTACATGTAACTGAATGTTAAATATTGGAAAAAATAATTGGGAATCAACAATTTAATTAGCTCATTTCAAGAAGGCTACTAAATTTTTGAAATTTTATCTTTAATTATGTGTTTATTTTTACGTGAATATGGGTAGAAGTAATCAAGTCATCATGTCATAATAACGATAATAATTTGTATGTATGTCACTTGAAATTAAATCATAATATATATATAAAATATTAGTTTTTATTTTTTTGGGCAAAATATATAAAATTAATATTAGTTTTTCTCTGTTAAATGAGGAAATTAATTGGTCTAGAATTTGAAAATGGTGCATGGATCTTAAGATATTGTGACAATAAATAGATAATTTGGATTGGGTTGAACGTTGAATGCATACTTACTAAGTTGAATTAATGCAAAACAAGAAAGAAAGAAATATGTAGAGTTGAATATTGCAAAACTTTGGCAAGTTATAATCGAAACTCAAAAGTATGTAAGGTCACGCAACACAACATCCATACAACTCACAACGACACACAATCTTACTTAATTCCTTACATTTTCTTTCAAAACAATTGGATTTCTTTTATTATGGTTCAAATGGTGAGTAAATCTAATCTCTCTCTAACTACGTAATTAAAATTGTTTTTTCAACTTTGTTTTGCTAGAGGATAGTGAAATTTAATGGGTGCAGACTGCAGACCCATTATATTGTTTCATTTTTTCCCAAAGTATAATAACCATGTACTATTTACTAGGGCTTGGAATTACTCTTCTCGGTAATTCTAATTGCATCGTACTATTTGCGACACGGAGATGGTCACCTTAATTTAAGTATTAAGGATTTTCTATCTGATGCTAAAAATACAACTGCCGATCATTCTCAGGTAATTGATTTATATATTATTAGATCCAATTATATTTTTAATAAAATTAAGTTTCATTAAACAATCAGATTTTCTAATAGGCGTTTAAAGGGGCATGGAAAGCATTATGTGAAGCAAATGGGAAAGGCAAAACAACATCTCTTGTAATAAATGCCAACGAAACATATATCATACAACCCCAATTGTTTCAAGGTCCTTGTGCATCTCGTAATCTTCATATTCAGGTATTTTTCATCATATACTTTTTAGCTAATTTTGTCACATAATGATCACCTTTTAAAGAAATCTCAATGTTTTGCAAATATATACATATATAAATATATGTGTGATTATATTTTTTTTTTGCAAGATTGATGGAAAACTTGAAGCGCCAAAGATGGTAAAGGAGTGGGGAAACAACGGAAGTAAATGTTGGTTATGTTTCACAAACGTGACAGGTCTCGTCCTCAATGGATCTGGTATCCTCCATCCCCATGGCGAAGCTTGGTGGTCCTCTATTGAGCACTCCCACCGACCACGAGTATGTATTTTCTTTGATTAAGGATTAAAATATAATATATATAACAAACAAAGTGTTTACAATTTACAATTTATTTTGTTTGTGCAGACAATAGGATTTAATGGGAGTAGTAACATTATATATAATGGACTAACCCAAATGAATAGCCCAAAGAATCACATTTCTATTTTAAATTGCACCAACGTAACTTTATCAAATTTTCATCTAATCGCACCTAAAGATAGTCCAAATACTGATGGCATTGATATTGCTCTTTCAAACAATATCCGGATTTTTAACTCATCTATCCAAACCGGTATGTTATGCTCAGTTTTATGCGTATACATGGATATATTAATCATGAGAAATTACATAATTCCATTTTTGTGTTATGATTTGTTTCTTATTAGGTGATGATTGTGTTGCGATAAATGGTGGTTCGTATGATATCAACATAACTCATGTAGCATGTGGTCCAGGTCATGGCATCAGGTTCGCACATCATATACATCTTAAAGGGTTTCAAAATTTAATTTTTTGGTTTGGTTTTTGATAGAATTATACAAATATTTCTGATTATTATTTTGTTTTGCAGAAGTTAGATTGGTTTATTACAAATTCATCTAGGATTATATATATGTGTCATTTTGTACTAGTATATTTTTTATACATCTTACGACAATATCTTTCAAATTTCATTATGAGGTTTTGTTTTGAAAAAATAATTAAATATGAATTGTGTATTTCGTCTTGGAAAAATCCTACAGTATTGGAAGTTTGGGGAGAGGTGGGGAAAACGATACGGTACAGAACGTGAAAGTAAGACACTGCAGCTTCAATGGAACAAAAAATGGAGCAAGAATAAAGACTTGGACTGTAAGAGTTTTTGAAAAAATAAAATTATATACATTTGTCTTTTTTTTTTTTGGTAAAATTACATACGTCTATTTTTACAAATTTATATAATTATCATATTGCATGTTACATCATTTCTTAGGGAGGACAAGGGATCGCCAAAAATATATTATACGAGAATATAACATTAACAGATGCCAATTACCCTATCATCATCGATCAACATTACTGTAATGGTGGCCACAACTGTACAAAAGAGGTAAAACTTTATATATATATAATTTGAAAATATATTGTCTTTAGTATTTTGAAACTTTTATGCATGTGAAATTAGACATCTGTTTTTTAGATAGAATAGTAAATTTCGGATTTTTTAAATAAATTAATACAACTGTTTAAAATTCTACAGGCGACAACTGCTGTGAAAGTGAGCAATGTGACATTTAGATACTTTAAAGGGACATGTGCAAATAATATTGCCATAAAACTAGATTGTGATGAAGTAACTGGTTGTCAAGATATCGTGATGGAACACATCAACATCACTTCTTCATCTACGAATATGCCCCTAACCGCATATTGTCAATTTGCGGATATAGTTAGTCACTTTGTCTCGATGCATATCAAATGTGGTTTCAATGAAGAACCTTTAGTACCAGTTAGACCTCCACGACATGTTGAACCTCCAACGCCGCCGACTAAACCTCCAACCATGTTTCCTAAACCTCTGGCACCAGCTAAACCTCCGGTATACTATGCTAAACCTCCGGTATACTATGCTAAACCTCCAGCACCGAATGCTCAACCTCTAGCACCGAATGCTCAACCTCCAATGTTGTCTTTTCTTTCTTACTTTATTTAAAATATTTATTGTGAAGTTTCTATCGCATTTACTATATCAAAACAGTGTGATGAGATGGTCACTAGAGAATTAACGAACAAATCTGTAAAACAGAAAGTTAATACACTAAAAGTTTATACATCCACAAACATTTTGAGGTTTTTTTATTTTTTGAATTTGATGTTAAATTTATTCAAACCCAAAACTGTTTTACAATAAATGTTACAGAGATGCTGAAACAAAAAATTTTGAAAGAGGAGCAGAGTCATTCAAGAAAGCTGTGGATATGGAGCAAGAAAGGCTGGAATAGCTTATGGAATTTTATAAAACGTACGAAATATTTAAAAAAGGTTCAGTTTGAACTTTTCTCTCATAAAATCGTAGCAAAAAAAAAAAAAAAAAAAAAAAGACTTAAGGCCATTATGCTTCCCTTTCACACATTCAATAGAAGACCCCAAGTTTTCTCAATTTTCTTTTTGTTTTGTTAAAGAAAAAGGAAAATATTCTCAGTCTTCATGACAAAGATTATCAAGGCATATATCCATGTCGTACTGCAAATGAATCGTGCTAGTACATGGACTTATTTTCGGGTCATAGTCTTGAAGATAGGAGAAGCTTGAGTCATGCGATTTTCTTTCAGAGAAACTCACCGTTTTAGTTTAAAAAGGAAATAAAACATAATATCATGTGATACTTTTAGTAATTTATACTTTTAATGTTTGTTTTTTGAATTGAATGTAAAATTGTATTCAATCAAAAACCTTTTTACAATGAATGCAATCGTTTATTCGAAAGTTTGAAATAAGCAAAAAACATGGAAAGTGATGATATAGAACAATGGAGTTTAAGATGTTGGTCTGGTAAAGAACCAAAGCCTTAGGCCGTCATCGTAGTGAAGTGTTCCCGAGGCTTTGATTGAGCTGATGCGGTTGCGGACGGTTTTGTCGATTAGTTTGATGAGCCGAGTTGTTGGAGATGGGAGTTCCCCATGCCTTCGTGCGTTTCGCTCACGCCAAATATGGTATAGTGTGGCCTGGAAGACGTACCGAAACAGAAATAGATTGAGCCGTGAAGTGGTTGTGTTGTGGAGCAATGCAATGAGCTGGTCCCAATTTGTCGAGTAATTGGTCATGAGGAGTCGTTGTGCTAAGTTTTCCCAGATTGCTGAAGAGTAGGAGCAGGAGAAGAACAAGTGGTCTCTTGTATCTTCTGTATTGGTGCATATGAGATACTTTTACTGTTATTTTGGAAATTTTCAAATATATACATAGATTTTACGGAATATTTATCTTTTTCAATTTTTATGTAAGCCACGGTCCTCCATAGGCCTGGGCATTCGGGTACCCGTTCGGGTTCGGTTCTTTTTTTTTGGGTATCGGGTCTATTCGGGTAGGGGGTCAAGACCCATTCGGGTATTCTAAAAATTTGGTTCGGGTTCGGTTCGGGTTCGGGTCGGTTCGGGTATTTTAATAAAAAAAGCAAAATACCCGAAAATAACCAAAAATACTCGAAATATTTTCGGGTTCGGGTCGGGTTCGGGTTTTTAACTCATATATACCCAAATCTAACCGAAATACTCGATTTATCGAAAATACAATGGTTACTCTTTACCCAAATATAACCAAAAATATCTAAAATACCTAATATATTCGGATTTATGATTGTAATTTTAGGTATTTCGGGTATTATAAATATAAATATAACTAATATTTATAGGTGTATATTTGTATTCGGGTACATTCGAGTACATTCGGCTATTGGATTCGGTTCGGGTTCGGTTCGGGTTTTTTTCGGGTAAGAGGTTAGGACCCATTCGGGTATTTTTAAAAATCGGGTTCGGGTTCGGTTCGGGTATTGTTCGGGTTTTTCGGTTCGGGTATTCGGTTCCGGGTATTTTGCCCAGGCCTAGTCCTCCATATTAAAAGGTCGAAGAGAGTTTTCTCTATTTCCCATTTTCTAGTGATCTTAACAACACTGTTGTAATCTCTACTTTCTCATTTTATCTTTCATAACTATATAACGCGCAAAAAAAAAAAAAAAAAAAAACAGTATGACATAACAGTCGTAGCTATGTACTTTTCAATTTATGCATTTTCAATAGAATACCCTTTTATCGAAAATTTATACTCCCTCCGTTTTCGAATAGTTGTCGTTTTAGAGAAATATTTTTGTTTTTAATTAGTTGTCGTTTTCAGTTTTCGATGCAAAATTTATTACTTTTTTATTTTTTATATTTATTTTTATTATGCAACTTGATTTACTATTGGTTAAATTATGTTTAGGTAGATAATTAATGATATTTTTATATTGAAAAACTAACAATATTAATAGTTTCTTAATTTGTGTGCATATAGTTAAAACGATAACTATTCGAAAACGGAGGAAGTATTACTTTTATATATAAGCCACAACCCACAAGTAATTAAACTACTAAAATATATTTTAGGATATTAATTCAAAATTTTGAAAATCCTGGTGGATAGGTTTTTAAGACATTGACCAAAAAATGGTATATACAATGCGTTGACTACTAGCTATGTATTAAGAATAATTGTAAACCCATTACCATAAATGCATAAATATATAGTAACTTTTAAATTTTATTCAAATTCATTTACTTCTTTAACAAAGAAAAAAAGAGTCAAATTAATTTATTTTCGAAAATTTGCAAGTAATCAAATGTATATATTTATCAACTCTACGTGTATATATTTACATTTTACAACACACACTATTAACACTACATTTACTAAGAAAAATAACATACTCTATATTTTCATTGATTAATATAAAAATGGTGAGAATATAAAAATTCGCATTTTAGTTGATTATTTTTATCCCATTGTTTCAGAAATTTTGTTCAAATCACTACTTTTATTTTTACCAGGGTTTTGAGATACTCCTCTCAGTGCTTCTAATTGCATCATACCATTTACAATACGGAAATGGTCGGATGATTCTAACCATGAAAGATTTTATATCTGATTCTAACTCTACAAATGTTGATCATTCTCAGGTAACTATTTATACAAGTTTATTTATTTTTATCTGGATGATCAATAAATATATTAAATATTTTCCAATTAAAATTGAATCATTGGTTAGTAATATTTTCGAAATAGGCATTTCAAAACGCATGGAGAGCCTTATGTGGAGGCAAAGGGAAAGGTAGAGCAGCCTCATTTGTAATACATGCCCATGAAACATATACCATACAACCACAATTGTTGCAAGGTCCTTGCATATCTCGTAATATTCATATTCAGGTATTTCATGCAAAGGATGTTATGGATCATGTCATTTATTTGCATGTAACCTCTTTTCTTAATTATATGTTCACATTCATGATTAAATCGATGACGACACCAAACCAAATGATTGGTACAAATAAAAATATAAGATGTTATTAGTTTCGTGTACAATACATTAAAACTAAGCGTAATCATAATTAAAAATCAAAACGAACCAAAATTCATCAAAGCGAAATCGAATCTCCTGACTCGATTGGTAAGAAATTTTGGTACTGGGGAATGATTAATTTCTTAGTTAGAATGTGGCAGAAAATCATCATGTCAGCAAAGTTTCAAGAAATCTCATCATTTTGCAAACCTCTCATATACCATGTTATATTTCCTTGGACAAGATTGATGGAACAATTGAAGCCCCGAAGATGGCAAAAGACTGGGGAAGCAAAATAAGTGAGTGTTGGTTATGTTTTGAGAAGGTGACAGGTCTCGTTCTCACTGGATCCGGTGTCCTCAATTCCCATGGAGAAAACTGGTGGTCTTCTGTTGGTTTCCCCTCTCGACCAGAGGTGCGTTGAAGCTGTATATTCAACATGTTGATCTTAAAGTATGCATTATCAGAACATTCCTTTTCTTTGACGATTTTAAGAACATATATATATATATATATATATATATATATATATATATATATACACGCACATATATTGCTAATATCATCTACAATTTACGATTTATTATTTGCTAATTGTGCAGGCAGTAAGATTTTTTGGATGCCAAAACCTTTTATATAAAGGATTAACTCAGATCAATAGTCCAAGGAATCACATATCGATTTTTGGCTGCACCAACGCAACTTTATCAAATCTTCATCTAATTGCCCCTGCAAATAGTCCAAATACTGATGGCATTGATATCTCTCATTCACAGAATATCCATGTTTTGAGCTCGACAATCAACACCGGTATTACCATTTTTCTTAGTTAAACGAAAATTAGACTACGCCATACACAGATTGATCACGAGAAAGATTACAATATTTTCTTTTGTGATATATATGGTTTCTTCCTATTAGGTGATGACTGTGTTGCAATTAAAGGTGCTTCATACGATATTAACATAACTTATGTGACATGTGGTCCGGGTCATGGCATAAGGTTCGCACATATAAATTTTTTAAATATATATATTTTATTATCAATTCTTGATCAATGTGTGACAAAACAGTATCGGAAGTTTGGGGCAAGGAGGGGCATCTGAGGTAGTACAAAATGTGAATGTCAGACATTGCACCTTCAGTGGAACACAAAATGGTGCAAGAATCAAGACTTGGCCTGTAAGTTGTTTTCTGTGTGTTTGTTAAAATATATCATAATATAAAAACATATATCATGTACTTGGACGTTACATTATTTTTCAGGGAGGACGAGGGTTTGTCAAAAATATTTTGTACGAAAATATTACTCTGATAAATGCCAACTTCCCCATCATCATCGATCAACAATATCATCAATCAGCAGGGGTAATATTTTTTAAATATACAGTCATATTTTAATATATGAATATGTTTGACCACAACAAAAATTATATAAATGAAGTGATATTATATTTATTTTAAAATATCATACTCACAAAAGACGATACATAATTGAATGTAACTAAAGCTGAAATATGCTTCAACCTTGGTATTTTGAAAATTTAAGGAGATACTAAATTTCACGTATTTTTTAGATTTGAGTGTAACGGCTAGGAAGCAAATAACAAACATATGTTGTGTTCTTTCAGGCTACTGCTGTGAAAGTGAGCGACGTGACGTTTAAATCTTTCAAAGGGACATCTGCCGATGCTACTGCAATAAAATTAGATTGTGACCCGACAACAGGTTGTGATAACATCGTGATGGACCACATCAATATCGTTTCTTCATCTCCGAGAACGCCACTCACCTCGTACTGCAAATTTGCGCATGTAATTAGTCGCGTTGTCTCCATTCGCATCGACTGTGATTTTCGTAATGAAGATTCTCAACCTGCGTCATCGCATCCTCAACCTTCCGCACCATCTGCTGTATCCCCGAAACCGCATACTCAACCTCCACTGTCCTTTCCTTTCTATACAAATTTTAATATCTTCTTATGAAGTTTGGGTCGTATCTACCAGATTTATTATAGCTATGTTGTGATGAATTATGTCACTATTAATTTATTAAAATAAAAAGGATTCGGAGGAAGTTTTAACTTATTTCAATAGTCATCTTGTTTCGTGAAGTTAGCAGCAACACACGCTAATAAGCATACAAAATTATCTTTTACGTGTTTTTTTTTTTATAAACCCTATCGGCTATCCGGTCGGCTCCGGTAGGAACACACCGAGGTGCTACATAGTAGACTGGTCCACCGTGTTAACGGTTAGGCCCTTACGGGCTAGCACTCTGCCTATCCCGAGTTTGGAATGCCTTCCGACTAAGTGCCAGGGGTAGTGGCCGCCTGCATTTCTGGCTACCAAGTAAACCAATTGGACCAACCCAACTGACAGATTTCCCAAACAAATGTGTTTTTGTTTCCAGGGAGAATCGAACTCAGGTTTGGGAGTTTCACTCTTTCCCAAAGCTTCCTCTGCCACTAGACCACGGATGCTTGGGCATCTTTTACGTGTTTTTATAACCAAAGATGATCGAGTCGCAGCAGGTCGTGATTCATTGCCTTCATTGTAAGGGTGTTGCGGTGTTAATTAGTATGCTATGTATATTGTATACGTAAAATGTATTTATCAATCTCCTAATGACTAGATTAGAAGGTTATGAGTTATCAATTACCGTTTCAGCACAGAGACATTGAATACCGAACGTTTAGGTTAGAAGTGAGCCAATTGTCCTGAAAATAAAGTAAATGTATGTGAGTATTTGACTCACACTGTCTACGCTCACAATGACAATATTATTGTAAAGAATAAGTTTCGTTGTTACTCTAAAATTCTTGTTTATTTCTGACAGAGTTGGTTAAAATTCTTCATTATCTGTTTTCATCACTAAACCTAACAGTCTATAGATATGTATTTAATGTCAAATGTTTAAACCTAACCATCTAGAGTTGTGCAATTATTGTGAGGCGAGACTAGGAAACTTAACGTGAATAATTAAGCCAAATGTTCGAAAAAAAAAAAACTATATAAATTATTAAGGAAAAAGATAAAATTTTCACTCTAGTAATAAGTTTTACAAGTAATGTTAGTAGGGATTGTTAAAGGTATTGCCCAAAAAAAAAAAAAATAGGGATTGTTAAAGGTAAGTTTTTAATATATACTTACAACACCAATACACCATTGACTACTAATAAGATTAAAATAAATAGCTAATCTAAACAAGTAATTTAATTCATATTGAATTAATATTCACAAACTGCACCAACCTATCAAAAGTAGTCAAGTGGTTGACCAATGATTTATTTGATATTTTTGTACTAAATAGTCAATATAATGTGATTTTCAAATTATGCAAATTAACAGAGACAAACTTATCGGATATTTATTGTGATCCATTTACTGCAAAGATCTAAAAAATTTCAATCCTAATAGAGTAACAAATGAAAAATGTCTCCCTACCAAAAAAACCAAAAAAAAAACAAATGAAATATGTCCTTTAAATAATGTTACCGACGGGCGACCAAAAAAGAAATGTAAAATTACCGACGAAAAAAGAATGTATTAATTATAATTTTTTTTTTTGTCGTCTAGATTTATTATTAATTGCAAATTATGAGAACTGTTACATAGACGATTCTACAACTGACAATTCTTTCCGACCTTTACTAGATTCACGACAGACTACACTTCTTTCTTCGTAATTTTGATGAATACCTTCAATGATCCACGATCTGACGACACTTTCTTCTATGCGTAAAATCCTGGCGAACGGCTATAATTGTACATCGTTGGAGATATCTTGCACACTTGCCTCCATTAATCTGCAAATTTTTTAATAAATCGCAATACCTGGGACTCGAACCCCAAACCTTTTGGTGTAGAAGCATTAATCAACTCTTATTCAACCAATGGACCAAGGAGACTTCCACGTATTAATTATAATTTATAAACTAGAAAAAGGAAAACATTTTATACAATAAAAGGTAGTAATTTAAGGTAAGTGAGAAACAAAAAAAATGTTAGCGGGCCTATAGCTAAGCCCATAATCAATATTAAAAAAAAAAAACTTTAGGCCACGTAGCAGAGGCATAGCACAGTCACGCCAACCCTCTCGCTACATTAGACTGACCAAAAAGTCTCTCTAAAAACACAACACACTGCTGCGCCTTTTATCCTGCATCCCTCACACGACACTATCCTGCGCACCACCGTCCTCCTCCTCCGTCACCATGGGAAAAGGCGGTGCGCTTAGCGATGGAGTCATCAAGAAGATCCTCCTCTCCTACACCTACGTCGCGATCTGGATCTTCCTCAGCTTCACCGTCATCGTCTACAACAAATACATCCTCGACAAGAAGATGTACAATTGGCCTTTTCCGATCACACTCACCATGATCCACATGGCTTTTTGCTCTTCCCTCGCCGTCATCCTCATCAAAGTCTTCAAAATCGTCGAGCCTGTTTCAATGTCACGAGAGACCTACATCAGATCTGTAGTCCCGATCGGTGCTTTGTACTCGCTCTCTCTCTGGCTCTCCAATTCCGCTTACATTTACCTCTCCGTCTCCTTCATTCAGATGCTTAAAGCCCTAATGCCTGTCGCTGTTTACTCAATCGGAGTCCTTCTTAAGAAAGAATCTTTCAAATCTGAGACGATGACTAACATGCTCTCGATCTCTTTCGGTGTCGCGATTGCTGCGTACGGTGAGGCTAAATTCGATACTTGGGGAGTTATGCTTCAGCTTGGTGCTGTGGCTTTTGAGGCAACGAGGTTGGTTTTGATTCAGATCTTGCTCACTTCTAAAGGAATCAATCTTAATCCAATCACTTCCTTGTACTACGTTGCTCCTTGTTGCTTGGTGTTCCTCTTTTTCCCTTGGATCTTTGTTGAACTCCCGATTCTTAAGGAATCATCGAGTTTCCACTTCGATTTCGTGATTTTCGGGACTAATTCCGTATGTGCATTTGCTTTGAACCTCGCTGTGTTCCTTCTCGTTGGAAAAACCTCGGCTTTAACGATGAATGTTGCTGGTGTCGTTAAGGATTGGCTTTTGATTGCCTTCTCTTGGTCTGTGATTAAAGATACAGTTACTCCGCTTAATCTCTTCGGTTACGGGCTTGCGTTCTTGGGTGTTGCCTATTACAATCACTGCAAGTTGCAGGCTTTGAAGGCTAAAGATGCTCAGAAGAAGGTACAGCAATCTGATGAAGAAGCTGCTGGGAAGCTTTTGGAAGAGAGGGAAAGTGAAGCTGCTGCGAAACGGGATGAAACCGAAGACTGATTGATTGATGAATGGTGATCATAGGAAAAGGGTTGTGAATCTGATGAATGTGTGGAATTCAGAGGAATAAGAGTTGAAGGGTTAGGATGATTTTGGTAGCTTTGGAGGGAAATCTTCAGCAGGATTTGCGCATCATCTTCGGTTCACTGCTTTGCTTAGGTATGATCGTCTTCGTCTAGTCAATCTCTGGTTTTAAGTTTTAGTTGCTATCCATTACTTTTAAGTAGTGGCTTATTATATTTACATAGTGGATTTGATGGTACAAGGATTTTAGAAGTTGTTATGACTTGTGATGCTTTACAATCTACCACACGAATCTTGTGTTTTATGGACTTTCCTTTGTTTCTTATGAATCTTATGTCGGTTTACTTTATAATGCCATTGAGATCCTGTTTGGTTCATAGTTATTATCAAGATAAAGATGTTAGAAGCTTGGTGGTGTCAAACATAAAACTGAACCGTTTGTTAGTCAGAAAACAAACATGTTTAAACTTACAAACATATCATAGATCGAGCTCATACTTGAAATTTGAGTTGAAAATGATTTATGTACAAACTCAATACTATATAGATTGCTCACTTTTCACCATATCTAAAATATCAAATTTAAAGCTCAATCTTTGGCTTTTTCCCATCAGTTAAAATCTAAAACATGTTATCTAATATCTGTATGAGCTTGTTGTGTCAACAACTGGTTGAGTTGCCTCCGACACACATAGAATCGAACAACAGTCGTTTTTGAGTTTTGTGATGAGCCGGATCTGAAGTGGGATATTAAGCCCAAACTTATTTTCGTCAAAGAATATTTGTCCAGTCCACGAACTAGCAGAAAAAACTTCCCATGCTTTACGTTGTTACAATTGTGGCATAGGGAATAGTATTTTGAAATTGTACATTACAGCTTCAATCGAATTATTTATTTTTGAATTTAGCTGGATTGAGTTTCGGTTAAAGGTTTCTTGACTTGTGAAAACTACAAAACCGAGACACTTCTTATACGGCTCTACTACACTGTCTTGTCGGCAATTATTTCGTGGGTTTGCATTTCCCAATTTTAGAAATATTAATATCATAACAATAAAATACAGTAAAACTTTCTTTTTTATGTGAAAGGAAATAAAAAAATGTAAGCGCGCAGTCCACTGACTCACCCACCTACCCACCCAAAAAGGGCAAAAAAACTAGCAGACTGGTTAAAACCCTAAAAGCTCAACGAAAGAGACGACGACCCATTAACCCACTGAGAGAGACGTAACAGATTCTCTCTCTCACTCTTTCGTTCTCTACACACGATTCTTGTCATACCCATCTTCGGAAATTCCCTTTCTTTCTACAAAGTATCTTCCTTTTTTTGGGCACTTTCAAAACGAAGATGAGTGGCCGTAAATCGTGATCATCAGTCTCTGTTAGCTGTAGCCGCAAAAACAAGATCTTTATCAGAAGCTTCTGAGTGGGTGGGCATGGGGAGAACCGGAATCCAGTTGTTCGACGATTCGAGGAATGGGTTTTTCTCCGTTTCCGATTTAGGATTCGATTCGAGCCTAAACAGCTCTAATTACCACCCAATTGGTGGGTTATTCGCCAGCGTTAATCATACTAATCCATTCGCATCCCTCTCGTCTCCGGATCCTTCCCAAAGAGGCAACACCAGCTTCTCTGCCCAGCTCAATGATCTCTACACTAAGTATATGCCGGGAAAAGAAGAGGAGGAAGAAGAAGTTAATGGCGAGAAGAGGAAGAAGAAGAAAGGTGGCCTCAAACTGAAGATAAAGATCGCTAATCCTTCGTTGCGGCGGCTATTAAGTGGAGCTGTAGCTGGAGCAGTGTCAAGAACGGCTGTTGCGCCGTTGGAGACAATCAGGACGCATCTAATGGTGGGAAGTGGAGGAAACTCCAGCACTCAAGTGTTCGGTGATATCATGAAGCATGAAGGTTGGACTGGTCTCTTCAGGGGTAATTTGGTCAATGTCATTCGCGTTGCACCTGCTCGAGCCGTCGAGGTACCACAATGATAATCCAAACCAACAATGTTTATTAGCTTCAGGAAGTTTCTGGCTTTTATACTAATATCTGGTTGACTTTCATCTGTGAAAAGTCTTGTGTTGGTTGAAACTTGAAACTGTCTTATGCTGAATTGATGAGTGACTTTGGTGCTCTGTTTTAAAAAACTCAACTTTCTTTATTTTCCAATGCTTGTATATA